CTGGCCTGTCATCCATTCTCCCGTCGTCGGCATCGGTAAGCGTGACGGCCAATATCCATGCCAAACATGCATAATAATCAATGAGTGCATGTATTGCGGGCTTCAAAGTCATTCATCTCCGACGTTGAGGATCCAGAGGATCCATGTCACGAGATGCCCAAACGTCAGGCCGGTAAACGCTCCCATGTTGAAAGTCAGAGCCATCCCTGATGAGGGTGGTAATATCCTTCTCCCCGCCGTGTTTTGACTTCTCTTGAGATCTGCGAGTAAATGTTGCGATGCACATATTGTAAACAAGTTCTCTGTGTCGATTGCCGTCCTTGAAAATCATGAGGCATGTTGCAATTCGTAGAGGCCTCAGATTTCTCCGTCCTATACATGAGTTACTGTCTTATACATGAGGTAATCAAGTATTTTAACTATTTCCGGGTAGCTCTCGCCGCTTTACCCTACGATAGCCGATCTCGCTCAACAAGCCGACATTTCGTTTCTCAGTCCGTCGTCGCCGATTCCTTATCGATTCTATGATCACCGTGACGGGTGGTAATCGCCCAATCCCTGTGACAGCGGTTACAAGATGAATCTATTCCCTCCTCAGTCCACCCAAGGAATCCCATTGCACGTACCGCTCGACATGCAAAGTATTGGCCGGGGACAGCGGGACGATCTACAATTGCCATTCTGTGTCCATTTCATGCAATAGAGCCGGTTCTAGGTGTCCTCTTTTCCTCTATTGTCGACACGGGTCACCGTGACGGGTGGTAATCGCCTAGGCCGGAAGCCAGCCGTTACAAGATGGCAAGCCATTTTCCTACCTAAGACATCCCATTACACCTACCACTCGTTTTGTAGAGCAAGAATTCTCATCCTACATGTTATTGAAAGTCATGCTGGTGTCCTCTTTTTTTTCAAATGAGAACTCCTAACAACTGTTTTAATAGCTCACGACTAGATTCGATAGAAAAACGTTTCTCCAGAAAGAAAACGCTACCCTCTTTTTGACTCATGTTGGTGGTATCTGGGCCATTTCGTCCGACACCCCTTCCCAGGGAGTTCTTGAGAAAGTGTTTCCGTGATGAGAGGTATAATTTGCTTTGCATTTTTTGGACGTGCTTTTTGATGGCGAGAAACATGTGGTGTCAACTGCGCGGCGCGTTCCGTTTCGAACAGGAACAAGGTTAATCGACCTTGAAATCCCTTCAAGGCCTCTGCTTTTATTGGTTGATCGTTGTCAGCGGGCATATACATATTTCATGCTTAGTCAGCCATACTGATCTTGTCATGACAGCCTCGTTAGCCTTTCGGATTTCATCCTTTCCCCGTCAAGCATAATCCCCGCAAGCTCACATTTCCAACGGAAGCCTTCCGTCCTTACCTGCTCACTTTGACAGACTTGACAGCCATCACCTTGTCTTCAAAAGAAAACTATGTCAAACCACTTCTCCTATAAATTTGGACAAGGTCTGGTCCTTGGCATGCTGTTCCTATTGCCAACCCACCACCGAAATATGGCAACAGCGGCCTCTTTCGAGGATTTTCAAAACGGAACTATCAACAATCAATTCGGCTGGACCGTAGCCGACCTGTTTGATCAGGCCATCACCCTCGATGCCGCAGGAACACGCGTCTGGCAAATGTCAAACGCAATAACTAGCGGTGGTTTTGGCAACCAGCCCTATTCCCCGATCACTGCGGAAGTAGCAGGCGAGCCTGGGAGCAGTCTCAATGGCCCTAACAGTGCCAACGCCACTGTGTCGACCTTCTACTCGCGCGTGGTGTTCGGCTCCGCCACCGGCGCCCCTCAACCCGGCCTATTTCTGTCTTTGTCTGCCTCTGCCAAAGGTGTCGGCAATCGCATGAGTTGGGTGGGCCTTGAAGACAGCGGGAGCGGGATCGATCTGGGATTCTATGATTATATTTCGGGATCGAATTTCACCGAATTTCCGGGATTCAATTTCACCACGATTGCCACCGGTCTTTCCTACACAGACCTGCACACCGTGGAAACGACGATTAAGTTCATGGAGGGTCCCGACAATGACGTGGTGAACGTTTTCCTCAACGACACCCTTATCCACACAGGCCTGAGCTGGGAGGGTTATTTTATTGATTACCCTAACGATTCTATATTGCAAGCCGTCAACGCCTTGCTCGTTCGGGCCGGTGGGGAAAACGCGCCTGACACCCAAGGTGCTGGTTTCTACTTTCATTCCGTCGAGGTCTCGACCACGATCCCTCCCACTCTAGCACCTACCGCAACTCCCACACCGGTCCCAACGCCGACCCCCACAGCGACCCCCACGGTCATCCCCACAGCTACTCCCACCGCGACCCCGACAGCCATCCCTACAGCAGCTCCCACCGCGAGCCCGACAGCCATTCCTACAGCGGCTCCCACCGCGAGCCCGACAGCCATTCCTACAGCGGCTCCCACCGCCTCTCCGACTCCCTCGTCCTTCACCCCTGCGCCCACCCCCGCCGTACCTCAGGTGACGCCCACGCCCGAAGGCCAAGACGTCGCCGTTCCTATCCTGGACCCGGCCACCAACACCACCTCTGGCGGCATCGAGTTTGCCAACGTCACAGCCCCCGGGATCACGGTACGCGGGCATGGGAAGCGGGTCTCTCTGCTGGATGTGCTGTTGACGAAAGCGCGTTGCGTGCGTGGATCTTGCAGGGCGGGAAGCTAATGTTTCTTTTTTCGTTTGTCTCGGATCATACACAGGTGGTAGTGAACGTGATTCCGGACCCCTCGGACCCCCTCTTCGTGCCGCCCAGCAACTTCGTCCTGGGTGACCCTCCTACCTACAAGTCCATCGCCACCAATGCCAGCTTCAGTGGAGATATCACCGTCTGCCTATCCTATCTCCCTTCCGCCTTCCCGGCCGGCACGCAGCCTCGTCTCTTTCATTTCACCAACAATGCCTGGGCGGACGTGACCACAAGCGTGGACCCCGTCGCGCAGCTGGTGTGCGGCGTCGTCTCCTCCCTGAGTCCCTTCGCCCTCGGCACCGTCATATCGCCGACCTTTTTGGCACAAGCCTACTTGAAGTCCCTGGTGCAGGCTCCGGGTCGCCGGTTCACCCTCCTCTTGGACCTGCTGTTCTTGGAGCGGCCTGTGGAGGACGTGGTCGTCTCGGTGGGTGAAAACAACATCAAGGACGGGGTGGAAGACGCAGGAAGGCCGCAAGGCGAAAGAAGACCTGAGCGGGGGGGATGAGAAGGAAGGAATGGTTCATAGCTCTGTGTATGATTCCCTCACAACCGGACCTCGCGGCTCCATTCCCAAACTTGTTCCCCTACAGTGCCTGCTGGGAGGGAATACCACCACCCTCCACGTCCAAGGACACGCGACACGGCTTCTGCAGGGTCACAGTACAAAGGTGCTCAAGCGTGCCCGG